GTCAAAGCAACAACAAAGGTTGGCAGGGAAGTTTGAAATGGTTAGTATAAGAGTGGAGGGGGCTTCTCTAAACAAGGCCTGATCATCCTGCAAAAGTGCTCTATGTTCTGTCTATCCAGACCCAGTTGAAAGTGAGCCTTGTAGATTAGTGTAGTCACAGTAATTGGATAGGTGCTTACATTTACCAGAAGAAACACAGGGTGGGGAACTTGTCTAACCTGAAATCTTTGGAAAATATCACTGTCCCAGTACCTGTGACCTGCTCAAAGAGAGTAAGCATACAGCTAACCAATGGCTATAATGCACACAATACGCATGTTCCCTTTGCCGAAGGCGAAAGAGCTCTCATTAACTTTCATACTGCAGGAACTTTTCATTTTATTTTTTTTTTCCCAGGAAACTTTTGTCACATTCACACTGCATGAACTTGGCTGGGTTGTAGTTCCTCAGACACTGTTCTGGAGCCCCTTTTCGTCCTTACTCCAAGCTATGTACTTTTTGTACTTCTGGGGAGGGGCTTACAGCGATAACTAGCTAATTTGTTGACCACAAGCACTAGTAGTAACACAGAAGTTATGCGGAAGTGCAGGAAAAGAGATAAGGCTGATTCATGCTTCTCCTTATACGTACTAGTGGACGTCTCCGCTTGAATGTTTGACATGCTTGACGTCACTGTGCGCCTCCGTGGAGAAACGCCCCCTGCACTCCAAATTTGTTCCTGCGCAGCGTTGTACGTGCAGGTCTGGACACACTGAGCATGATTGATATGCTAGCATCCACGTTAAATACCAACAGGGATGCTTTTCACAAGCATTGGGGTAGTTTGCAAACCCTACAGACTATTTAAACTGCAATAATCCTGTTACATATAAATGTGTGTGTGAGTGGAGACTCTGAAATTGAAAATCTCACGCCAGCCAGCTGACCAAACTTGGCAACCCTGTGAGTTGGCTCTCTGAATTTGTAAAACATAGAGAAACGGACACAAACCTCGCTGCTGTGGTACGTGTGCAGGGAATATCAGAATAATTTATATTATTATTACTAAAAAAATATAAACACAACACGTTATGTATTTTTGCTTGCATCTCCATATTTCTACATTGGAAAATTTGATCAACTGATATACTGATGTCTAATATCACCAGTGTCAGCACTGAAACTGGCCAGCCCTGATATGTCTGAAATAGGCTCCATCCATGTCTCCCCAGGCCATGTCCAGGATAAGCAGGACATGGATGGATGTTTCCCTGCTGTCCAGTGGTTACCTCAAGACAAGTTGCCATGGTAAAATGGCAGATATTGTCCAGGTTGTTGTCAGTGAAACTTAGGCTGAGTTCCTGTGGCAGTACTGTACCTCCCGCACGTGTAGGAGAGAGTCCCATATTCAGCCTCTGCAAGCCCTCCCCCCTGCAGTTTATGAGGACAGAAACCAAAAGGTAGGTAAAATTACAGGGATAAAGGATAAGCAATCTCTAAACGCAGTGCAGATCAGAGCCAGTGCACAGTAACTTTCTGTAAGCTGTCATCTTCCACTCCTTCTTACTGAAGATACCGTCATAACTGTTTCATCCCCCATAAGCACTTTAATACCACGGCAGTCTTTTTCAGCTTACGACTGTTTGCTGTTCTTTACCCTAACTGCATGTCTGTGGACCCGGAAACTGTGATGCGTTAGTTATTGGTCCGTGCCGACTTGTTGGAGCTTTATGGTGTTGCGGTGATTTTCAGTGTAGCTGCTTGCCTCTATCACCTGTACCCGCGACGTGGAGATAATCGCCCATCTCCTTCCAGACACCGTCATATCCTGTCATGTCGCTGTTGCTTCTTGTCTGTCCAGAGTTTCATCACCACATTCTTTGCCTTTTGTGCTGAATCATCATTTTCTGTCACTGAGCGAAAGCAGTTTTATCATTAGTGTTTTTTTTCTTCATTTAAAAAGTCTTTAGTGTGCATTAGCAGTTCCCATGCACTGCAGCCTTTCTGATCAGGCTGCCATTCCCTACTTTCCTGACTCTTTTCCCCTTGATCTTGAAGAGCACCCAGGCTATCTCTACCCTGCCTGTCTCTACTGCAGGGCATGGGTCGCGGATGGCTATTGTTACTGCATGCCGTGCCAAACTGTTCTTGCCACACGGAGTCTCTCTTTGTGGTGGAGCTCGTCCGTCTCCAGCAGCATATTGCCCTTGTTTCCTTCCCATTCCGCAACTATAAAATATCAATCTCACTTCTAACCAAAATGTCCAGTGGCCCAGGGATGACAAGGCCTGCTGTTCCTTCTCCTCCTCCTCTGGGCTTCACAGGAACTGTCCTCTCCCTCCCCTAATGATTCACACTAAGTCTGCCCGATGTATAGTGATATTAACATAACACTTTATACACATGCAATTGTCACATCACAAAGATTGCAATAGTCAGCTGGGTTGAGACCATCAATAAGTTATACTAAAACATTTTTATTTATTCATATGGGGAAAAAACAAAGTTTTGCGTTTTTAATTAAGCTCCTCTTTAAGTTAATCTAGTATGTTTAAAAAGATGTCTATAGGTTATCACCACTGCTTTTACATGAGATCTGCAAGAGCTCACCGAGCCAGTCATAACCATTCTCATTCCTGTTGTTTCACTCATTCATAGACAGTCTGGCATGTTTGTGAGAAGTTTACCAAAAATGAGTGAAAAGTGAACAAGAACTGGTCACCAAAAGGCATTTGTGTTCTGTACAGTAGATATTTTGAATCCTATAGAGAGTGAGCACTGCTTTGTCTGTTGGCTTAACTCACAGGAAATTAAAAAAAAATTTCAGCTCTTTTTTTGTCCTGTAAATATTTCCATGTAATCCCCTTCCCCCAATATTGTCCAGCACAAATTCACACATTCTTTTAAAATTCACATTTTTCAAACACTGATCTTCTTTCCTGAAACTGTCCCAGTTGATATTTTATTAGTTTTTCTCAGTTTTTTTACACACACTTTCTGGAACATCATCAGAGATCCAAAAACGGGTAATTTTCTTAGAAACTTGCACCAATGCAAAATTGTACACACAATATAGCAGTGAATGAAACTCATTCTTCACCATTTACATACTTGAATCTTAAAGAGACTCTGTCACATCACTCCTTGCTTTTTGCTTATAGGTCAGTATGCAAGTCATGGCTGCAAGTTACAGTAACATATGGCACAAGTTCTTAGAGTACATTACTATGCTCTAATGAATACATGGGGAAAAATGAACAAATCATCCTGCATTGATACAGTAAAGCAAACACTGTCCTTTTGCATCTCATTAACAATCGTGACCGTACAATAGAGTTCATGCGGGTCATTCTGCAATGTAGTATACTTATAGCAGGGAATGTCATGCGTCACTTGCCTGTTTTCCGCTTTGAATGTTCTGATGGCAGAAGCAGCTGAGGTTCCCCCACATGGTTTATGACGCAGTCCACCTAGAATTCCCCAAATCTGGTCAGAGAAATCCTGCCTTATTTACCTTCCTGTTCCTCGTCTACCTCCTCATTCTGATCCCCATTCTTCCTCTAGCTTTTGCAGCAATATTCTCTGCTATTTTTGCCAATAGGATGTTCAACTGTAGGTCACAAAGTGCTTAACACACACTTGCACTTTGACTTGTGATTATATTTAATGAGGAGTGTTGCAATTTGTGTGGCGTTTTTAATGGTTTTAATGCCGTCAATTTTAGTGTGTCAACAGTTGAGGAAAAACTGTAGTGCAGTTTCTGAAAGCCTTAGCCAAACCGTTTTATCCCTTTCTACAAAATGCCTTTTTTTAAAGGGTACCCTAGCATGGTCATTCCCCTGCCTTCAAGCCTACAGGTTCCTTGAGTGTCATTGGCTGTCATACCATCAGAGGTTCTGTTCATTTTTATTAGTGGTGTAAAGATTCACCAATAAGGATCAGAAACTAGTTTTAATGTTTAAAGATGCAACTATAATGTCAATGGTCAGATTCTAAAACTGCGAGTTGGTTGACTGAAGCTTTGTTGCTAGTTCTACTTTAGTATAAATTAAGCTGCTGTGGGTGACTCATTGGTCTGTTACAAGTAATTTTACTTAAAAAAATAATAATAACCGCCTCTTATTTGCTAATAAATCTGCACAGTGTCTACTAAAGAGCTAATCCTATGTTCAGATTGTTTGGTACATGTATGTACGTGGCAGAATGACATTTTTAAAATATGGACATTTGTCCAGTAGTGCTTTCTATAGCCGCTGTTTATAGTTTGCCATTTTATTGTATCTTGTTTTCAGTGAAATGTAGCGCCTTTCCAGGCAGCTTCACTCCAAGTGCCTCATATTAAACAGCAGCATCCTCGTGGACGGGCCGGAGAGCATGCTGGCGTGTGCCTGTGGAACCACCCAGTCAGGAGCGCGTGTGTGTCGTGTGGTTGGAGTGGTCTTGTGTTCTCCATCTCTGGCCTGGGAGAGAGGAGGGAAACATGGGCGTCAGACCTGACACTGAGACAACAGACAGACTGGGAAACAGAGGTTTACGGCGGTGTAGGGAGTTACCATAAGTAGTAATAATAATAATAATAGTAATAATAATAAGCTAGCGCAGCCTGAGCTTAAATAACAGGTCTTCAGGTTACTTTAGTTGCGAGACTGTCCCATAATACCTGGAGCCCCATAGCTGACAGGGCAAAGGTTACTTAGCGTTTCCTTAGAGGAATCATAAAAGAGATTAACTGACCTTTCTGTGCTTAAGTCAGGGCGTAAAGACCCAAAGAAGATGTGAGAGCAAGAAGGTGGCCATTTTTCCTGTGTTCCTGTTCTGGATCTGATCTAGGGGGAGGGTGTGGTTGGTGCGCCTGAGAGTATGACGTTAGGGTGTGGCTCTTCATTGTTCTTGGTATTTAGGGGCCAGCTGACTTGGCAGTGTTAAGCAGGTGTTGGGGGCCCTGCTCTTTCCCTCACTCCCACCCCCCCCCATGACCGTATCTTTCCCTGTTTCTTTTTGCCCCCTTGCCACCTCCCCAGACGCGCATGCAAAGCCTCCAGCCGGACCCCAAGGCCCAATACCGCAGTGTCTACGAGGCCCTGCATCGCATCATGCGCACCGAGGGTCTGCTGCGGCCCTTCAGGGGCCTCAACATCACCATGCTGGGTGCCGGCCCAGCCCACGCCCTCTATTTTGCCTGCTATGAGAGGGTCAAGCACATCCTCAGTGACGTCATCCAGAACGGGGGCAACAGTCACCTGGCCAATGGTATGACCGCCCCCCCCCCCGCCCCTACTCGTGCATTACACAGTCCAATCCTGATTGGCCTCTGAAAGGCGTGCATGTGACCTGTCTCTCTGGTTCTCTCAGGGGTCGCTGGCAGTGTGGCCACTGTTCTTCACGACGCCGTCATGAACCCGGCAGAAGGTAAAGCTGCACTGGGTCCTTTGGCATGTTTATTATGTCCAGTATTTATAATATATATCTGTGCCTATAGTTAGCAGGGGATGGTTTGCTCATCATGTAAGCCGCTTTTACCTTAACGTGCCATTAAGGAAGGAAAACTGGAGGGTCTTCTAGTAAAATGAAGTGAAATGAAAATATCTCAAGACAGTTGAGGTCAGGGAAGCTGCAGGCTGTCAGGGTAGCGCGTGGTTCAGCGAGCTAAGCCCTCATGCCTGTGATTGGAAGGTCTGCAGAATAGTGACACATCTGTGGGCCCTTGAGCGAGGCCCTTAACCCCCAGATCCTTGGGTGCCGCTGCAGGTGGCTGCCCTTCACTGCCAAGCTCGCTCTCACCTCTATGTATGTGTATCACGGACACAGAAACATAGATGAATGGAGTATTTCTCTATGAGGATCAATAAAGTGTCGTCATAGTTTTTATTTATTTTATTTTAATGGCTCACACTGACCTGATCTTGGTACTGTAGACCCCCTCCCCCCATCGTGTGGATCAGTGGGTTAGACCTCTGTGCCTGTAATCAGAAGGTTGTTGGTTTGTGCCTCAGTCA